AAGAGACGAGTAGGAAGAGAGATCAGGAGGAGAGGGGGTCTGCTTGTATTTGTGTGTGGGGGGGGTGTAGCCAAGTGTCCCGCCAGAGCTCTTCCATCAGTTTCTAACTGTGACACTGTGTGATCATCTGGCTCTGGTGGATATTAATAGCCCTCAGCTCTAGCCCTCACCCCCTGGCCAGCCACCCCCTCTCAGCGCTCCTCACCCCTCGCCCCTGCCCCCTTCCCCAGGCTTGGTGTGTCGTCCCTCCTCCCCTGGCCATGAGAGAGTAGGCTGACGGATCCAAGCAGCAGGCACAGCCTGTCAAAATTCAACATAAGGGAGAAACAAGCCAGTTCAGAGCAAACAAACGGGAGCCTCTCCTGTATTCTTCATTCCCCCTCTGTCCAGCTCTCTTTCTCTTCGCCCTCGTCCTCCTCTTCTTCTCTGTACCGTCTCTTAGATGAAGATCATACCTGGTAGGTCCACAGAGTGGGGTTGCTGTGGCGTGTCTGTCTGTGTCTAACTGCGTTGGTCTGTCTGGCTGCTGAGTGTTGGTGAGTTTTTGGCAAACGCACCGTGTGAAGTCTTGTTGTGTTCCCGATCGGGGCACATACTCACACAAACACACATTCACATTTAACAAAGAGCAACCTCCAGCTACCGCCACACAGATTGTATTCCATATTTAAACCCGTCCACAATGTGACTGACTTGAATTATGATCGAGGTTGGCTGCCTTCTATATTTTCCTTTATTTGATGGCATGTAGATAGAAGTGGGTGAGGGCAGGGGGTGAGGAGGAAAAATTTCACCCCCCCCTCCCTCTCACTGCCTTTAGGAGGTGTTCTTCCTGTCAGTCTGACATCTGATGGACGTCAACAAGCAGGGGTGACTTATAAAGAGTGTATTTTATTCCGAATGTTTTAGTTTGTGTGTGTGAGAGACAGCTGGGTGTGTGTCTGTCTGTGCTATTTAGATCGCCGTTAAACCAGGACCACCCGCTATCGTGCTGTACAATCCCAATGCATCTGCCGAAGTGCGTTTGTTGTTGTTGTTGTTGTTGTTGTTGTGACGAAAAAAAGAGGGCTTTTTAAATTGTATTACCTTTTTATCACTGAGCCACCTGTGTAGTTGTGTATTATGTAATTTTTAATGTAATACTGGGGTGTTGTAATAATCAGTGTCCTCTCACTTCAGATCAGACTGAAAAGACAAAGAAAAACAAGCTGGACTCACTAAAGGATATTAATGCCTTTTATTGCTTCACTGTTCCCTAGAAATAAGCCAAGAACGCAGATAGCAAGCCCATCCCGCATGATAACATGAAGTAGTTGTTGCAATAAGATGGAATGAGTCACAGGGGTGAGTCAGTTAACGAACATAAATGCAATAGTATTTTTTTTCATAGTGCAGCAGTTAGCCAGACATAGCAGATTGTACACGGTTTACCAGCCAAACTTTGATTAAAAAAAAGTACTGATAAGGGTTTTAGTATTGTGCGTTAGAAAAGAAACCACATATGTAGAACACGTTGGCCGGTGTGAACAGCTGAACAATCAGGACAGACAGAAGGACCAGGAAAAGAAGAAGCCTTTCAGTAATAGCTTCAGGGTGGGGGAAGCAGCAGGAATTCCTGCTTGAAGTGTTCTTTTTATAAAAATGTCCCTGCCACACCCACACCGTCCCACTCCGCTCTCCCCTCCCTCTTAGTGAAGGCCCACCTGTCACCAGAGCCTCCCCCGTCCCCCTCATCCCCTCTACATTATCTCTATCTGTCCCAACAAATGCCTGCTAGCCCCCCGGGACCCACTCTCCCCGCCCTGGTGGTTTTGGGCCATTTATTCACACTGATTGTATTCTGGCACTTAAAACATAAGAGGCAAGGTAAGAGAGCTGCATGTGGCAGGATGTTGAAACAATGGTAATGTACAGGGTAAAAAAGTAATGAGTAACAATGCTGATTATGGTGCTAACACTGTATTTATCACTTTGCTTTATTGTGTTAATGCCTGAGAATCTTATTCTTCATACTTTGATGTATACAGGTCATATTACTAACCCCAGGAGCTCACAAAAAAAGCTTCACGTGTGTCTGTTTACCCTGTGCATTAGTCACGTTCATGTGTAACCTTGAAACCTGTCAGCCGCTGTCCACTGTGACCGGGCGAAGGTGCCACCAGGCCTTTCCGTGCCAGTGTTACTGTTCTTTCGTGCAGCTGCACAAGGATTAGCCCTCATTACGCTCAGACAGCGTGGGAGGCCTTTTATTTGGCTCATGTTGCAGTGGCCAAGAGACTGACATGTCTCAGTGCAGAGATACAAACTACTTCAGGCTCCACCAAGCTGAAGCTAGCTGACTTTCTTTTTTTGTAATGCAGAACGGTGCTGTTGTAACAGTGCCCTACCAGGTCCCTCCCAAACCTGTCTGGTCAAGTTTGGTTATGGATCAAAGGCCTGTGTGTCTGTGTGTCTGGGTGTGGGTGTGGGTGTGGGTGTGCAGGCATATATGTGTGTTTTAGTGTCTCCTCAGTAAGATCAATGGCTTTCTCTTAGCACTGTGTTAGTCCACCTGCCAGGTTGGAGGCGCTGCCAGTCCCCAAACCGGCTGCAGCCTTTGAACCAACAGACAGCCTTACAATAGACGTGAACCCGTGGGTCTGTTCAATAGCAACGCTTTGATGACTTTATCTTGGATTTAGCCTGGGGAAAACATAAAATTTGCATGCACAAAATTCCCACCAGACTGGGCTCTGTAATACTGCAGATAAACAATAATCCGTTTCATCCTGTGTCTGCACGTCAGCAGTTTGATGTATTATTAACAATGTACTCTTTTAGCCATGCCAAGCCTTAGCAAATGTTAACATGCTAACACGTTAAACTAAGATGCTGAATGTGCTTAACATCATACCTGCTACGCATCAGCACGTTAGCATTGTCATTGTGAGCATGTTAGAATGTTGAGGTTCACATTTATTTCAGCTCAGCTGTGCCTGAGTAGAGTCTCTCAAAGCACAAGAGCGGCACCAAGAGAAAGTGTTGCTGTAGTTTTATCTAATCTAAGATAGCTGTAATTGAAAGGAAGCTGACAGATGTGAGGGACTATAAGGAAACTGGGAGATGATATAGTTAATGAGTAACTATCTTGTGTTGGGATGTGGTAGTAAAAAAAAAAAGAATAAACCTGTGATGAGTAAATAGACATTTGGCAGTCTATGTGTTAATGGGAAAGGCAATAATATGATCAGTACTGAATGATAGAGATGAGTATTATTGTATTGATACAGATTTTGATACTGATACTGATTATTAATACAGATACTTCTCGACATGACATGAAAAGATGTGAAAAGATTTGACAGTTATTTTATTATTAATTTTATTTTGCTGAATAATAATTAAGTATCTCTACCACAACTTAAATTGTTAAAGGAGTTATTGCATTGAGCTGCATTTCATTAAATCTATTAAAGTGACCCCACACGTTTAAATTTTTGCCCTGTTAGCTGTTTATGTAATCGCTTATGTAAATACAGAAATGTTCAGGAGCGTATCAATATTTCCGACTGACCAGTCAAGAACCGGTTCCGATACCCAACCCTACTGACGGAGGATAGGAAGATACCACTAGAGATGCTTTTGGAATCAGCTGAAATGATACTAAAGGCAACTTTTACAGTCAAAGACACATTGGACCATTTCATTTTTCACACATACCATTTTTCTTAAAATGTCAAAATTGAATTGCCCCGATTTACCATATATATCCATGTACCATGTATATCTGTGATGACTCACTGACATTAGCAAATTTACTGCTGCTTACTCAACCCTGACATTATAATGTTCTATATGATAATGTTTCTGAGATTCTGAGAGTTAAACACAGCTGCTGTCCCTGCTGATCCTGCGCCTCTCGGTCCAGGCCTGTCACGGGGCTTTCTGGTCTTAGCTGTCCCCCTTTTCACTGGCATCTATTCTGCATGATGACAGCTCTGTACTCTGTCCACGTACTCTAGTTCCTCGGATTGAGCTATCACTTATTACAGCAGAACTACACTGTGCAGTTGCGTGCAGAGGTGGGAACATGGATATTAACATGCCCCTCAGACCATGTTGGAATGAGGTCAGCCGAAAGGTCCCGAGGAAGGGGGCGTGGCTGAGTCAGACCGTAAATACTCTCTGTCAAACACAAAGGTGCATCGCTCGACATTCTCTCGCTGAACCTCGACCTCTCATCTGTGTTTGTTTTCCCTTTCTCGGACCGCCAGGGGGAGATACAAAAGCCAGTTTTCTTAGAGTCAAACTCACACTTGGAGTTCAGGTGTTAAACATCATCTCTGATTTCACATTCATATCGTGCAATGGATGTTTTAGATTTTTTCCCAGGCTACTAATGGAATGTTGAAGTACTTTTCATAAGAAGTCGGTAAAAACATTTCTCAGGCATAACAGGTTGAACGGGTAGCTCTCTTAGCGAAAATAAGCTCTCGAGGCTAGAATGTGTCAAGTCATATTTTTAAATGCTAGTAAAGTATAACATCCAGTTTCACATGCTATGGGCCCCAAGTGCCATTTAATCACACACAATGCCAAACAATGGTTCTTTTAGAGATGAATATAGGACAGACACAGAGCTGTGTGGGCCGTGGTGGCGGAGTTCTGGCTCTAGCTTTGGCCTGGTTTGTGGAAAAGCCAGCATTCTTCCTGGAAACAGCCACAACTCCCACTTTTGAGCAATCCAGCTACCACTTACTGTACACCAGTGTGTGTGTATGTGTGTACGGGTGTGCGTTTTTTCCAGTGCTCACAAGTGTATATAAAACAGCCTAGATGGCCCCCACTGCCGTGACTGCTGCTGGTGAACCAGTGGGCATGAGTCATAACATAAACAGTGGACTTGTGTCTTAGGGGCTCATAGAAACCCAAAGGGGCTGTGAAAACAGTTCTTATGTCCTCTGGGAATAGTGTAGAAGCCCCGGATGAGACAGAAAGACACATGGAACACATATGAGACGTTCATTTAGAGCTGATTTTATTTATGAGAAGCACTGGGACCATGGAAACGCATCCGGTCCTGTGCTAGGAGTTTATTTATACCCCTCGTGACCTCCATTAGGGATTTCTCTGCACCCATTGGTCCATGTACAGTAGTATACAGTTAGTATCAGCAGTTTACATAAAGATGTGTAAGACTATGGTTTTTGTATGCATTTAGTTATTAATGTACTGCAGAAAACACAAGTTCTTAGTTAAATAAACAAAGGTTCTTGAGTCATTTTTCATTTTCTAGCCTCAGTCCAGTTTTCCTTTCTCTAGAGTTCAGTTAATGGTTTCACAAAACCCCAAATTCTGACTTCAACACAGTTTTGGTATCTACATTGAAAACAATAATTTGACATTTTGGGAAATAAGCTCTTTCACTTTCTTGCTGAGAGTTAGCTCTTGTGTCTGTCCATTCACTATAAAGCTACATCAGTCAGCTTAGCTTAGCATAACTACTAAAAACATGAGGAAACAGCTAGCCTGGCTCTGTCTAAAGGAAACAAAATCTTGCATGGGCACAGTGATTTTCTTATGTGTTGTCACTATGAAGTTGCATCTATCTGCAGAAAGAGTCACTGTGCAGTCTTGATCGTGTCCCTCTGTATAACCACCAATTGTCAGTTTTTACTTTTTTTGTATGAATTAAATAAAGTAGATTTAAAGTATTAGAGATGCTAGTAGGTAGATTCTGTTAACGTCTGACAGATCCCTGTTTTCCCTGGTCTTTATGCTAAGCTTAACTAGCCGGCTGCTGTCAGTGGACGGATACAGAAGTGGTATCAAATCTTCTTATCTAGCTCTCTAAAAGAAAGTGAATGAGCACATTTCATTAAATGTCAAAATATTCCTTAAAGTATTTTAGAAGCTTAAAGGAAATGAAGTGATTTCCGTCTGTAGCTTGCAGCAGTTTATTTAGTTAGGATGAAATGCGATCCAGTTCCAGGTGTGGTCCATTAGTGATGGGTGATATGATAATATATACTGTACCTTGAAACAACATGAATTTGTTAACTATCAGAGATGTTTTGGTTAATACATTTGTAGCTCTCCTTTTAATATATATACTTTTATTGGACTATGGCAGAGCATTAAGCTTTATTGTCATGTATTCAGCTCTTATCTCAAATTTCAGTTTTGAATATCCAACCTACAGCTCTGTCCATTATGAGTTTGGAAGGATATGTTGTTAAATTAAAACATAAAAATGTGGTTCTCAAATACATTACATATTGCATTAACAACTTATGAACAACAAATGTATGTTTACTTGGGGAGTGATATTTACTGGAAAAATGACTCTAAGCAGGTCATGCAAAAATGCTGCCCTGTGGGTGATCAGAGATCAGAGAGCTTCCTGTATGGTCCTAGGTTAGAGGTCAGTGTCCTGTAAGAAGAGAACACAGCATATTTAGACCACTTTCCCTTTTAAATGGGACCTAAGGACAGCTCAGCTGTGCCCTGCCATAAACTGTCACATCCTATAGTTGACTGGCGACAGTAGGTGCTTGTGTCAGCGAGAGTAGAGTGCTTTGACCTGACATAAAATCCTCACTTGGTGATCTTAACACAATCGGAATTTATTGTATTCAAATGATTTTATTGTATTCATTCCTCATGTGAGTTGTAGTTCTAGAAAAGCCCAGAGGAGATTAAAAAACTAGTAATTATATCATAAAAGACTCTGTTGCTTCAGGGCTGCATTAAAACTGCCTGGAGTCACATAAACTAACACACCCCAAGGCTCTCAAACACCTCGCTTTTATACCGCTTGTGTGAGCAAAAACAGAAAAATAAACACTGACTCTGTAAAAGTCAGTTACAGTAGACAGGTTATATTAGGGCAGTGCACTGAAGAGGAAGAACGACACAGTAGAACCTTTTTAGTTGAGGTTAATAAAGTACAGAAAAAATGTAACTGCTAAAAAGAATTAAGAATTAATAATCAACAAACTCGCTGTGCACGGATGATCTGTGAAATGTGATACTTCGACCATATGAAAGGACAAAGAACATGACTTACCTGTCTGCTATCTTTCATTTAGCTATTAAATGACAGGGGCAGGGCCAACTTTCCCATTTTTATCTGTATGAAAGTTGTTCCTGTTTCTTTTTTAAGTCGCCTCACACCAGCTGGCACAGTGTGTCTGAGACACAGAGGGCTACCAGGGGATCTTACATCAGGCTCATACACTAATGGCTGCATTGTGGAACCTCGAAGGAGGGAATTATCCAATTTATATGAGCTCATATGGAGAAAGAATCAGATGTTTGTACAGTAAGATGTGTTGTGCAGGTGAGTGGAGAGACCTGTGGACTGGGTGGGGAGGAGTTAGTTTATTGGTCTGTAGTGTTTTCAGTGTGTTGTAATACCACATGGTTGTTGTTACTCCCAGAGCCATGCGCAGAGACTGAACAGAGGTTAAATGTTTTAGGTTAAGTCTATTTTATTGTACTAGTAAATGTTTTATAAAGTGAATAGTTGTCAAATATTTACACTATATTCAGATTTATTTTTGATTACTTGATCAAAAATGTTCCATTCAGTTATTCATATCAGGGTACATTTACATGTGCACAGCAATGCCATTATTTACAGTAAAAGTTGGTTTAAGTCAAGTGTAAAAAATCTAATCTATCTCTTTTATTTTTCTCGTTTGTTCAGATATTGATTTGTTTACACTGATCATGTGGCTTTATGAAAGATGAATGAATGGGTTAGATGGACAGAGAGGATGTCCATACCTTGGATGTCATGGTTGAATGGACAGTACTTGTTGTGGCAGTTGCTCAGCAGACTGAAAGCATTAACATTTGCAGAGTCCTCAAACTGAATCAGTCCATTCTATACCTTTAAACAGAGGAACTGCATTTAATCTGGCTGAACCAACAGAGAACAGACAGTAAAAGAGAAATAGGGGTGATAATGCAACTAATTGTTTTATCTTAAAGGGACATTTAATGAAGAGCAGCCTTGGCTTTCAAATACTTTATTCCTGCCCTGAAGGGGGCGCTCTCTCACTGCACTGCACAGCAGGGTTAGAAGTAAAGAGATGTGATGGTTTCTGGTTTCTCAGTGCACAAAGTTATAACAATGTGTTGAATTCAGGTTATTGAATTTTCACAGCTAAATTAAAATGTTTCAAATGAGAGTGATGCTGTCTTTTCTAGGAGTCTAAGTGAAAATTAAAACCACCGAACTTCTCTCCTTGGAATCATTTTGTAATATAAAGAGAATGTACAGAGATTTGCCCCTGACTCCTGCTCCTGCAATGAATCCCACAATCCCAAGATATCATGCAGTGCATACATTACGTCCATCAACAAGCCCTTTGGCACGCCTGTGTTATGATGGGGGGAGGCACCTATTGGGAACAGTTTTTTTTAAAGGGAAGCTTTGAGGTGTGGTAAGGTGTGAAGAGAATAAAAAGCATGTGTAATCTCAAATAAACAACATTCAGCCCTTTACATTGGCTAGAGGTTGCAGTAAAGGTCTGTCATTCAATGTATACAAGCCAATGAGTAACTGCAGTAGATATGAAGTGGCTGTTATGGTCTGCTCTGTGCAGTTTTATCTTTATTAACCAGTTTAAAAGCACCATGTCCACCCTGATAGTGGCAGGTTTTATCTCAGAAATGTTATTCTGTATTATGTAGGCTGGCCATAAGATATCTATACATGAGAACAATGGCATTTATCTACTCTACTGCAGAACTAACAGGGTAATCAAGAATGATTGATCATGGTAACCTACACAGTGCTTGATCGTTTTTTATCATCTATGACATAATTATATAATATTAGGGTGATAAGACATTATTTAGTTTTTAAGCTAATATCAATTGGATAGGAGATTGTTGTTGCTGTGTAAGATCACTGACTAAGGTTTGTGAATTTGTTTTTTGATGAATTTTTCCGAGGAAGAATTTCCCCCGTATTTATAGTATTAGGTATTTAATCTTATTCCTAACTTTAAAAATGTTTTGGCATATGTTTATTATGCAATGTTTCCAGTAAATCCTTGTAGAATTGTTCTGTATTTTGTATTTTTATTTTTTCCATAACATGCCTGTAAGCAAACTATTTATTTACCTTTAAAATTTTACGTTTTATTTATTATTTTAAAAACCTGTCCCAATTCTTATCTGGAGGTCTTTTTTCATAGTTTCATAGTTGCAGAATCTCCTGAAGGAGAAGTTGGGTGTGATTGTGCTCTGGCGCCATCTGCTGGTGAGAAAAATGAATTGCCCTCTGTCAGTAGGAGAGAGCAGCCTATTGGGTGGAGGGTGGTGTTTTCCTTTCCACGTCAAATCGTCAGTCAGTTACAGGAGACTCCTCCGTCTCTGTGTCTAAAAATACAGCCATGAGTAAGAGTAAGTCTCAGCTACTGTTGCACATGGTTCTGTATGTTTATAGCTGTTGTCATAGAAACATCGCTCAAGTTCCCCTTTTTCCACATTTACCAGGGTAAGATAGCATTATGGAAAGAACACATCATAATAATGGATTAATAGAACAGAGAAAAGGAGAACCTACAATATCTGCTTTCAGCTCAGTAATTAGGGCTGATACTCCTTGAAGTTATACCGTTCTGAGAAAATCCAGTTGTCTCTGTGCAGTTTGTCAGTTCTAAAGGTTAGAAGCCCCGAATGACTTTTAATCCTTTTTTTAAATTCTTTTTTTTTTTTTTTTAAGAAGCAGTCTTTAAATCATATTTAAAGTAATAATACACAACATTTCCATAGAGAAAATATCTTATAAATATCTATATTTTGCCAATGAGAAACTGATTTTCAAAAAACTTTATGTCTGGTACAGCTTTTCCAAGGAAAGATGCTGCGGGGTGTTTTCTTTGTGTTTTTCAAGGAGAAGAAAAGCGGTGATAGAATGTGGCTAAACAGCAGTGATACAAACAGCACAGTGATGAGCAGTAAAGAGACAAAGTCAGCATGAATATTTGTGTTTTTATTGATGTAGCATACAGTATTTCACTATGAAGTGAAGTAAACAAAGCATGGAAAAGTTGGTGGGTTATAATCACATCCAAACCCACACACTCGCTGCCTTTTCAGATTTATTGCACTGGATGCCGTTTTGAGTATGATAATTAAAGACAAGTCCCAAACCACTAATACAGCCCCAAATAGGTGCTTGCACTCTATTTAGCCACTTCATTTTGTAAACCGCTATGAGGAAAAATTATTGTTACGACTTCAACTTCAATAAAAAGAAAACCATTCACTCATTTTACTTCCATTTGGCAAACTAAGCTTGAACATGAACAAACATGAATTATTTTTACGCCTGCGTTTCCAGCCAAGTGACGTTACACATTTCATTGCTCTCACCTGCAGAGGGAGGCACATGCTGTTTTTAAAATGTAATCCTCTGCCGCTACCTCAGCTATTTCCCCATCGCCCTGTTGCATTTGAATTCAGCAAATTAAACATTAGCAACTGAAACAATCGCAGATGTGGGGCTTTCCACAGAGGCTTCTGAAGCTCAGCACTGAGCTATTTTAAAACTCAGCTGCCGTGGCTAATCCAGAGGCTTGTTGAGTCTGAGTTAAATTGGGTTTGCTAGCTTCATAGTTGGGTCTAATTCTGACAACATTATCTCAAGTCTGCTGACAGGGTAGAGATCCGTGCAGATATTAACTGGACAGTGCATCATGGCACAGTTATGACACAGAATGAATGTTTAGAGACTCTTCTGTCGGCCTTATGAACATACATCTAAATTTAAATACATTAAACGTATCAAAATGGCAAATATATAGTTACTAGAAATGTTCCCATTACAGAACAGGATTAAAAATATCTTCTATCTAGAAATGATCTTACCCAGTTTATTATTACGGCTAATTTAACACAATTATATTTAATAACACAGCCTTAGTGCTCTCATTAGCTCTGCTTGACTGACAGTGTTATTTCCAGAGTTTGTGTTTTGTTTTTGAGCTTTTCTTCTTTTTTTTTGTATCATTCATCCAGGTAACATTAAAAAGGCACAAGATGTTTTAAATGTGGTGTTCCACATCCCAGAGTGTTCCACTCATGATCATCACAGCAGGGATAATACTGCTTTTGATCTTTATTAATCCTTACCTTCACAGTCGTGTTGCCAGGGAGCTCTCTGTATATGGCATGGGCTTGTATTTTTTTGTTGTTTTTTTTTGGCTCCACTGGATTTGTACGCTAAACACAGTCGAAATACGATCCAGCATGCACTGTGATTCAGATGCCTCCTCTTCCTCTTCCTGCTCCTCCTCTTAATAGAACAACTGAGGTGATAATCCAGGGTGTGTTTAGGCTGCTCCAAGTTTTATCAGCATTCCTTTCCCTGCGGGGTGTGGTGCCCAGGTATTGCAGTAAATGCTTGCACACTTTCACCTGAATTGGCCGTAGGGGACACGGTGAAACGGAGGGAGCAAATTCTTTCTGCAGCTTTTTCATCCTCTGCTGAGAAAGGTGGTGTCCAACCTCCCTCTGTCTAAACCTTTGAATCTGCTCTGCAGTTAAGCACTTTCAAAAACCATAATGACACATTCTTAGGATTCTTTTGTCCTCTAATGTGTTTGCTTTGTTTGGAAATAGAGTCCCATGTGCTTAAGTACAGGTTGTTCTAGCCCTAAATGCTTGCAAGCTCAACCATGTGTTAGAGGCTTTATAAACAGATGTATGGACAGCATAGTGTCCTGCTCAGCTTTATGCAGCTTTAGTTTCATTTAAACAGATTCATACTAAAGGATAGGGTTAAAGCTAAATGATTTTTGCCCAAGTCCTTTTTCTGTGCTTATGTAAGAGCAGATTAATGCATTCAACTGGATTTCTTCTAAAAAAAAGTTAGTGGAAAACATATAATAGGCAGAAATGAGTGATTAGAAATACAGTTGTTACACATGCATACATGCTTTAGCATCTATATGAGCTCTAAAAACATTGATTTCTTTTTTGCAAGAAAGCAAAAAAAATGGGGCAAATGGGTTTATGGGAAATATGGTTTTCAGAACCATAAGCACTGGTGTGGGCTAGAGCCAACCCATGGTGTTGGTGGTCAAAATGGTTTATGGTAATTATAGCAAACAGTTTTCCCAATGATACAG